TTAGTAATCCAATATGCAGGGCTGATTTGAGCAGCCGTGGTGATACTGCTATTAAAAAAGAGGGGGGCGCTAAGCAGGGGAAAGCTGGGGAAGAGAAACAATGGCTGTGGTCACACTGGCAGCTTGGCACGATATGGTGCCGCCTCTAATTGTACCGGTTTAAAGTGTTGCGGGGCGTATCATCCAGACAGCACCCCCTGCTGCGGGTTACCCACACGGGCATCCTGTGGTCAAGCATCCACATTACTGCTGCGCTGCAGCCACAGAGTGCACTGCCCGGTCATTTTTAAAATTTATGCGCACGCATATGTGCTCATGTGCATAGACATATAGGCAAACATTTTTAAAAACCCTCCCTAGCGGCGGGAACGGATCTGCAGGTTCAGACTGCCAAATCCATTCTGCAAATCCCTGCGCTCAGACATCCAGCCATGCGCAAACAAATGCGCAGGGAACCAAAAACACCCCTTGTGATGTGCCTTTTTAACCTGGCTCCAAGTCATCCTACAATGGAGCCTGGGGAATGCCTGACAGATGTGGCTGTGTGACTGCATCCATTTGATCCAGAGGGGAGGGGTGGCTGTGTCGGGCCAAACAGCTCGTGTGATCACAGCCATAGGCTCTGGAAACAGCCAGTCACTAGAGAACAGCTGCAAGAATCTGGGCTACATTTGGGAATGCTCAGTTCTCATAAGCAAACACTGTGATATGAATGATTAGGATATTTAGTAAAGTTTTTCTACGAAATGACCCCTGACAATATTACAAGGAAAAGTCCATCATGTGCACCCGGATATAGGCTCATTTCGTCCCAGTCTTCCTCAGGAGTAATCCTATTATGTTGAAAGGTTTCAGCCTCTTGATAGCAGCACAATGTTACCTTGGGAGCCAACCAGTGCTTCACTTCCTCTCTGCTTTCTTCAGATTATCTTCTGGTTCCATTTCAAGTGTTTATGTTAGGAGCAAGCCAGTCTTGTCTTCTCTAACTAGGTGCAAAGGCCTTTTATATTTGCTGGCTGACACCTTTGAACATAATAGGGTTACCCTACCCCCGAGGAAGACTGGGACGAAATGAGCCTATATCCGGGTGCTCATTGAGAATGGTGGACTTTTCCTTGTAATATTGTAAAGTTTTATTTATAATATAATATGATCTTTACTAAATGTCCTAGTCCAGGCATGGCCAAACTATTATGCGGCTCCCGGTAGGGCAGCTGGGAAAGCGAAGGGGAGGCATACTTTTTCTCCCTCCCTCCCTCCCTCCCTCCCTCCCT